AACGCGTAGCAGCTCTTTCGGTTTTTCGGATTGCTTACCAAAACGATTGCATTTTTTTTTGTTCTTTTCGTTCTTATCGTGGACGATGGTCTTCAGGCCAGTGATTCATGGGTGAGATAGGATCGCGATTTTTCCGGGAAGGATTCCTTAAGTTCGGATCAGAGGATGACGATTTAGCGAATCGCCGACGTCGACCTGCCAGCGGATCACCCAACTGCCTAATCGCGGAATCTCCATTTCTACGAATACATCCCTTCAGCGCAATTGATATGTCAATCTCCGCCCTTTTCCGTAGCAATCATTCAGAATATGACGTCCCGAAACAGTATTACAGATCGTTGTAATATTGTGAGAACAAATGTTTTAATTTGCGACAATGTCGTTGACGTAAGTGTCAAGACGCGTTTATAGCTCGGTTTTGGGAAATTCGGCGATGCCATTGGAAGGTGCGTACACGTGTTATTCCAAAACATGGCCCGGAAACCAAATTAAAGCATGCAGGTACAGACATCTGTGAATTCTCATAGATGAAGAATTCTATTTCACCAACCCGCTTCTATGCAATTTTCGTGACATACGAAAATCAGATCAGCCTGATTGAAACAACAACCCCAGATAAGGTCATGTCGAAGAATCTATTTTGTGGGTGGGATAGAGTAGCCCACGAGTATCACAGATGTTGTCGCGGCTCGAAAGTGCGCGACAATGGCGCTAGGGCCTTACAAAGTGATCTGATGGCGACTAATGTGAACTTATGGACGAGATACCTCGCGCTCGCCCTCACGCAACGTGGATTACGACGTAGCGGATAAGATAGCCGATGATAGATAGACATGGTAGCCTTTTCGCATGATGCGGTTGCGTTCAAAACTCGTCTAGGCACATCCTTTCCACGCCATAATTATCAATCGCTGTTACCCCACCGATTTGAACTGGGGTTGTTGGTTTGAGTGTTGACCTAGTAGCTCAACAAGGAGACTCCCACTATTATTACATTCTACCCTTATTATTGTTGGCGAATTTCACATTGCCATGGCCTATAGCTGCCTTTTATAGAGGGTAATTTGCATTTTGATTCTTGGTTTTATGTCGGTATCAAAAGCAAGAAATGACTTTTTTACACCAAGCACAGCAGATGTTTTCTGGGATACGTCTTTCTGTAAAAAAAACGGACTCTCGCAATTAGGACAAACACTTATGGACACCACAAGGGAGCTCGGGAGGGTCTGTGTTTGTCCTCGGCACAGAGGCGGTCTATTTAACTCCGTTCCCGTCCAATATGACCGATTTCGCACATATCGATCGCCCCAAAATCCCATAAATTTGATCAGGGGCATAAACAGAAGTAGTAATTACCCCCAAAATTTCCGATCTACCTTTTCTCTGATGGAAATTATTCTAACTCAACTCCCTGCTTCGCTCTCTTCATTAACTTCTTTCAGTGTGTTTACTAACTCCCAAAGATTTGTAGAATTTGCCCTGTGATGATTGTCGCGATTCAAAACTGAAATAATCTTCGCAACACAATATGTTACCATTCAGATTCCTAGGGACATTTGAAAAACACGCCACGTCTGTGCGATAATTTCCTAAGAAAGATCCACCCCTGGCCAGAATTTGACCTAGGTTTCTCGCAGTGAGAAGCGTTTCGCGGCGAAAAGCGGAAAAGTCGTTCCTGTCTTGTGGAACCACATCCCATCATCAATAAGGACTCGGGACCATAAAAACTGATTAAGGTTCTGAGGACAGTAATCCTGTGCTATATTTAGGACTTTAATTCTTGATGGGAACAAAAACAGAATTTAACGGCGAAAAATAAAGGCGAATTGACATCTTTAGAACCGCGGCCAGTGCTTTGACGTGGAGTTGTGTATGTGTCGCAAGAACAGATCAAACACTAGGTTTTTGACGTTAGGTTAGGATGGTCTCCGGACATCTGTCAACCGTGAGGCTAGGCAATTCAGCGTTTTGTTGTGCTGTCTGGGAGCTCTCACACAAGCGCACTATTACAGAATCTCCGCTTTCTTTACCTCCTTCAAAAGGCTTAGTCCCACTACCACAAAGAACGTCTGCTTTTCCTTCTACACTCTCACCCCCTGGTTGACAGAAGCCTTGTAACCTAGGATTGCGGATCTTTATGCTAGTTCTTTACGTTGTACTCAGCAATAACCGATACAATTTCAAAGAAGAGCAGTTTGCTATTCTACTATCATGGCTAATGAATATCATTTATCAGTCTGTCCAATTCGTAACGCGCCCACCTCACCGACCGGTCTCCACCTGCTGGTTGGAATAGCGCGTATTATACGCGTTGATGACGTGTCGCTTGCAGTTTGGCGCATTGTCAGACAATGCACAGGCTTTTATGGTTTCTTTCTCTGATAAGAGGTGGTCTTTATAAATAGTTTGCTTGCTTCATTCATGTGCACGTCTTCGCGTGTGATTCAGTGGCGGTGATGGACACATTCTTCGTAAATGTATTGAGAAACATCCGTCAAAACAATTATTCTACAGCGTGATAAGCAAATATTGGTTGTGTTCAGCGTGACTAGAAGTGAGAAGTAGTTCTGTGACTTCCATGTTAAGATGTTTTAATTCTCTGTTTCTTGTTGTCTTAGCAGAGCACTTCAAAGTTGGTTTTTTTGAGCGTCGTTCTGGCTAAACTTGGACATCTTGTGATGTTTTGTAATGGTTATTCCAAATTTTCCAGCCCAACTCCTCTCAGCTGTATACTGATTTAGGCTGATTGGAAGGGCAGGTAGCAGAGCTTATTTGCCGGCTGCGTCCTGAAGGTAAACCAGCCATGTCTTGTAGAAGCAGGCGCAGAGACCCTCTTTGCTCTACCTCGAAGCTTTGAAGCTGAATGGGGATGCTTGCGAGAATATTTACCCGCAGGCCTTGCAGGAGTTCAGATTTATACCGAAAAATGGATGCTAGATCATTGTGTGTGTGCTATGATTTATGTAGGGTCAGCAGCTATATTAGTGTAGGATTTTCCGAACTCTATTTGATCTCATTTCTTATTTTTGTATCCAGCAAAGCTCCTGTGAGTAAGGTTATTCGTCAGCGCAACGATGGAACATTTTGTTTCGCTCCTCTTTTTTGTTGAATTGTATAATTCCACCATTATTGCTGCATCCTTATGCCAATATGGTGAGGACGGCTTGCCTTCTAACACATTGCCGTCAGCGACATGCTTTCGCGTCACTTTTCCACATGGATCAGACCGTTTTTCCCGGCTGTTTAATATTACTCATTCTCTAGAACTTTGTGTACATTATCGTATCCGGGAGAAGTACATCCATTATCAAGGAAAAGGAAAATTAACTAACTTAACAAGGACCACACTAACAAGGAAAGGATGGTAGGTCGAAGTGGCCGTTCGAAATGAATGTATACCTCCTGATGCGTCTCCAGACGCTGATTCAACTTCCAAATCTGCTAAACGACTCTCCGAACGGAGTTATGAAGCGTAATAGCTCAGTGGTGTGATGGTCCGGGGTGGCAGGTAAAAGCTCGTAGGATCGGTTCCTTTGCAAGTTTGTTGCTTTGCTTTTGTCCGCAACTTCTAGAGACAAAAGCAAAGCAACCAATTTGCAAAGGAACCGATCCTACGAGCTTTTACCTGCCACCCCGGACCATCACCACTGAGCTATTACGCTTCATAACTCCGTTCGGAGAGTCGTTTAGCAGATTTGGAAGGCAGATTTGGAATCAGCGTCTGGAGACGCATCAGGAGGTATACACATTTCATTACGAACGGCCACTTCGACCTACCATCCTTCCTTGTTAGTTAGGGGGATCACCATGTGCTCTGTTCGTGTGTTCCTTTAAGGTTTAGTCCTAGAGGCAGTTACGGTTTTGCGTAGCAGTTTCAAAGTGCAGTGGCATAATGCAGAGTAATTGTAAGCCTCAGAGGAACAGGCGAAGAGAGCGCTCCGCAACTGAGAGCTGAGTCCAAAGTTAATCACCTCAGTATCCTTATTTCAGTAAACGCATTATCACAACGCTTACTTAGTTAACGCGAATCTGCTAAACGGTTTGTAATTGATGATTTCGAGACGAACTCTGATTTAAAACTATACGATAAGTGCGTAGTATGTATTGCGATGATACTTAAAGCAACAGTCCAGGCAGGGTTTCAACCATTTGGTTTTCAAGTGGTGGAAACATGCCTCAGCCTGATTGGAGTTCATGGGAAATGTCACAAACTTCAAAACTTACCTCTGAAAGGCGTTGGAAGCAGTCGAAATCCTTCAAGAGGGGCGGATCCCCGATCCGTGGTGGGGCCGCCTCCAAGCAGCTGTGCAGAGCGCTTGCTCGACTAGCGGTCGTTGCGGGACCGCCGCGCTGTATGAGGTCGATTCCATAAGAACGCAATTGAAGCGCTTCAATTTCGATTGCTGGCAAATAGTTATGTATTTGCAAGCATGCATGGCTATTTGCCAGCAGTTGCAATTGGAGCGCATGTACTACGGGCAGGTTCGGACAACTCGTCCAACACACGTCTCCCTAAACGGCAGGGGGAGTCCCTGTCTAAGCCCCTGCCCGACGTTTTTTTCTACTTTTTCTTTCTCCATTGACCAACTTCTCACCTGCAACGTCATTATAGGTGGTCCTTACCCGCGAATTCGTTCCTGGATTGTTGCTTTAAGGCATCTGATGGTCTTGAAATGGGCTTTACGTTTTGTTTGCTCCGTGTTTGTTTGAATGTGCTGTTTTCTTTTTCCGTATTGTTAAATTGAGTTGTTGATTTTCACGCCATCGGATTTTGTTGTTAATGTGTCACCTATTAGTCAACCCTTTTCATTTCAGGGATGCATTGGGTATGGGGAGTACTCGCCATCGTCGGAATGACGATGGGTCAGAGTCCCGTTTTCAAGAGGTTCGAGTACAAACATTCGTTCCGTGCCCCGAATCTTGCTCAACGTGACGGCTCCATACCCTTTTGGATGGTGAGAAATATCGATTCGCGATACACTCTTTGTTATTGACGTAGATACGATTTGCTCAGCTGTGCAAATTTTTCACTCACAGGGATCTAAGACTGTGCCGATTAGTGAATTTGCGGGAAACTCTGCGTTAGTCGTTATAGCGTAGAAATGTGTCGGAATGTTTTACTCTACCTATGCAGTGTCTTAATAGTAACGGCTGCCTCTGTTTTTGCGATTAAAGTCGCCTCTTTCCTTAGTTTTGTAGCTGTTTTTTAAACAAATTGTTAACTTACCTTTTTACAGGTATCTGGTGATGCCATCGCGTCCAGCGACCAGTTACGTATTGCTCCTTCGATGCGCAGCCGTAAAGGTATTGCATGGAACAAGCGGCCCATGGTGGAAAGTGAGAATTTCCAGGTAAGGAATCGTTCGGGCGTCATCTTTTTTTGTTGAAAGATTGAGTTTTTATTTTGAGGAGTACGGACAGTCCTTTGTTCGTTAGTATCTTAGGCTTTTGATTCTAAGCGTACGTGATGCTCTCTAGTGCTTCATTCCCTAGATGCTGTATATGAAGTAGTTAGCTATTACTATTTGTAATCTAAGGCGTTTTCGCTTCAGATTGATGTCAGTTTGAAAATTACCGGTCAAGGACGAATAGGAGCGGAATGGAATGGCAATTTGGTGGGTATTTGTAGCTTCACTACAAGTTCCATATTACTTTTGTAGAGTGCTTTGTTCAGGTACACTGCTCAGATGGGTGCGCTAGGTCCGGTGTTCGGTGCCAACGACTTCTGGACCGGAATGGGTCAGTGGGAATCTCATGCTTTCGTAAATTCGTGAACTGTATAGGAAACTGAGATCAGTGGTTTGGGGTACTGGAAGGAACATATGCACACCTCATTTTTTAGAGGCAATGATTTGAGGATAAGCTTCTTGCATTTTCTCTTCATGCACCCGTCGTCTCAAAAGTTTCTAACCATAATCTACGTCTCATGAGGATATT